TGGGTGACCTGACTTTATGCCTGGCTAGGGTAAGGTTCATTCCATAAGTTTGGGTGTCCTGACCTTATGCCTTATGTAAGTTGGGTATAAAGGGCTAAATCATTGAAAGATTACGAACTATTGTTTGTCCAGATTGACTTGGGGATGGTGAGAGTACTTACCTTCGTGATTTGGCCTGCATGTGACTGAGTGATAGGTAGTTGCTTTAGTCGCTCGCCACGTGTTAGAGCCATAGGAGTTAGTTTCGATTCCTGCATTTTCTGAGCTAAGTTTTTTTACTTGAATCAATTCTCGCATTTTCTGGGATCTTTTATTATACTTGGCTTTGTATAAATTTTGGTAAGTTACTTTCTCTGCGAGAAGCGCTGCCGAAATTTCTGCAAATCCAAGGGGTTAGACAAATTTTGACTTTTCGAAGTTCAACTTGTCTAAAGTTCATATACGGCTTAGTAAAAATCTGGAAAGTCCCTTTTTCTAAAGGGAGTGCTGCCTAAATTTTTGCTAATTCAGGGAGTTAGACAAAATTGGACTTTGGAAAGTTGCAGCCTATTTCTGCCTTCATAATCGGGCTGATATAAATTCTGAAAAGACACTTTTCCTACGGGAAGTGCTGCCGAAATTTTCTTAGTTTAAAGGAGATAGGTTATATTTTGACAGGTGGCGATTCTGGCGATCCACCCTGTGTAGGGGAGATTCTGCCATTAGGCTACCTTTGCTTTGGGCACTGCTTAAAGGTAGATTCAGGCTTAGTTAATTATGATGATTTGAGTGCGATCGTGATATGGGGATTATTCTCCATCGACTTATAGGTTTAGCCTGGGGATCGGTCTGTCTTGTGTTACAGGTCCTCTTGATCGTATTGATTCAGGATTTGGGCTAGTTTCAGCTTGATCCACAAGGATCATCTTCTGTTATCACTGATAACAGGTCGGTTGCCGATTCGTCGGTTTACGATTCAACTCCAATCCACTCCTGCCACTCAACCTAAAGGCTTTAGCCTTGTGATTTGAATTGTTTTGTTGTGTTTTCACCCAGACTTTATTTTGAACAGCCATTTAAGGAAAAGTACTCAGTACTTTATTTTGAGGAGTTGCACAAGAGTGAGGCTTGTATGGCTAAAAGCAAGGTGTGTGAATGCAGAGAATGGTTGAAGTCGACCCCGTGTAATGCGTGGACTTTTGTTGAATCTTTGATGTGATTGCAGGTATGGTTGTGGTCCGGGTTCTGAATGTGACTGCCTGCGATTACATATATACATGACTGAGAGGAGTCTCACTGTGACCATGAGAAGTGATCGTCCTTTATAGATAAACCTTATGTATATACTTATATGTGCCTTGGGTATGCGCGTGACTTACTGTGATCGTGCGCAAGGGTTAACCAGATTATGGCTTGAGAGAAAAGGGAGATCCTCTTTTATTCTTTGCTTTTTAGAATTTTATAGTTGGACGTTATAGTCCGTGACAGCCGTCAAAGTCAAACCCCTTGACTTATCTCTAGGCCTGGAGTGGGGCTCATCTCCAGGGCAGTAAGAAACGATTGCCACCACAAGTATGGACCTGTGTACCACCCACTCTTCACAGGGTGCAGAAGAGGGTGTGTGGTCTTCAACCGCGCATGGCGGTTGTCCAGCGTTGAGAGATTAACCCTCAAGGCGCGTGTCAGCCGACACTTTAGTGTCGAACGCGACCCTCGAGATTAACGAGGATCACGTGAGTATGGGTACTACATAGTACGCCACCATTGCGACTGCTTGCATATGCCTGCATTGCTAATCGATAGATGTAGGCCCTGCGTCCGCGCGGTTTTTATACCAAGTCTCGTGCGTGACGGCTATCCAATTTCCGCATCGAAAGGTTATGGGTTGGCTACTGAGGGACTAGGAGCGTTGTCGCGTTGTTTGTGTTGTGTCGTTTCGTGTGTGTGTGTGTGTGTGATTCTTAAAGTGGTGTGCGCGTGGTGTGTGGGATGCGTCCTAGTCGACCGACGACGAGTCGCGCTTGGGACCTCAGCCCCCCAACATGTCGGTTCGCGTGCGGGTTCGATAAAGGCGTAATACCGCGTGCACCCCCTATGTTACAGCGAACGAGAAACGCCCTCGGCTGGTCCACCTCTGCGATTGCAACTGATCAGCTTTCGTACTGTGGACTGGTAGCTCGGCGGGGATACGCCCACCGAAGGGAGGTGACAACTCCAGTAAGGTGGTTCAAATCCTGTCGTAGGGGCTCGCGGCAGGTATGGCTGGCGCACTCGGCCGGAGCGGCTTGCGGAAGCTCCATGTGTATTGGCGACGAAGGATTTGAACCAACTCCTGCGTGACGCGGCCGGGAGGGTCCCGCGCTGCCACGTGCGGTGTCGGACCGATGCACTCGACAACAGTCCCCAGTGTCAAGTCTATGACCATCACATTTTCCCCATCGTGCGACAAGTAGACCCACCCTCGGGCTTCCACTGTCCCTCGGAACTCCAAATCCATTAATCTTGGCGACAACCTTGTCAGACTGACTTTAGTCCATACCGTTTCTATCCAAAGAAATGTGTCATCCTCGTCCAACATTACAGTTTGATAGGCTGGTTTTAGGTCTGTCCACGTCCCTTCCTCCGAGAGGACGACCGCATCAATCTTGTTTCCAACTGGTATAGATCGGGGATGACAACCACCGCACCAATCTTGTTTCCAACACCCGACCCCTGTTTTCATAAGAGAGCACCGAACGCCCCCCCCCTTTTTTTTATCAGGTCAATCTATATCCCGGATGAGAATTATTTTAGACCCCTCATCAAGGTCTCCCAAGTTTACCTCCCCATTCCTAAGTACCACCCTCCCATAGTACCCTCGGTCGGCCATCCACTAACCAACATTCTTTCTCTTGGTTCCATTCCGACTGACCTTTGTCCTCCTTCCTTTCAATCATCTCTCACTCGCGTAGACTTAGATAGGGAGGTGAGAATAGACTACAGTCATACCCCGTTCAACAACTCAAACTCTGTCAATCTTTATACAGGGGGAATACACAGAAAAACTCAGGCAATCTCACATACGGGTCGGTCATCTCCTCACCGGCCTACCCCAATATGGTCTCTCCGCTGGTACTTTCGGCAAAGTTTTATCCCATACCTCAAGCGCAGCTCAACCATCGCGAGCGTGGTACCCAGGCTCCGGCACAGGGTGTTACCCCTCTCCATTTGCCCAAAATACCCCATCCCGTCTTGCCGCTCTTGCATACCCTCGTTGGTACCGGGAATCACCCCGCGCACCCCGTTAGGAGCAATAGTCAGTCGTCCGGGCATTCACTTCCATCGGTCCGATAACAATCAACCTTTCCCAAACCGTACTACGAAAAGCTACTAATCGTCCCCGAGGCTCCCTCCTTGCCTCACACAGTGGTCCTCCTCCGCCAGCCGACAAGCTAAGCCCCCCCTGAGGAGACGTTTCGCATCCTGCTTGCACAAGGTGCCGAGCCATGCTCGGTCCGCCCGGGAGAGAGTGCTACTAATCAACCGGCGAGACCAACTCCTGTCCGACAGCTCGGTGGTCTGACCTCCGCATATGTGACCCGGCGACACTACAAAAGAACGACGTTTCACCATCCCGCACCAGCTGGCGCAGACCCATCCTTTCCTTCTGAAAGGCAAGACGCTCAATTCCCTTCATGCAAATCACAAGTCCCAAGTGGGACACACATAGTACAAGTGCCTTCCCCTTGGTGCACCCAACGCTTCCTCTACCCGTAACTCACAGTTTCCTCTCAGGACCATGAGTGTCACTCCCGTTACTTCCATACATAGTGGTTGGTTCCTTTTCGTGAGCATCTTCAAAGGTGAGCTAGTTTTCTTAGAAGTCTAGCAACTCCCTTCGTTCCCTTTTTCTACGTTTGTCTGTCCTTTCATAGGATAGGATTGTTCCTTTTTGATGACCCGTTGTGTTCATGTAGGTTCCTTCAAGCATTTCAAGTGTAGAGTGCATGAGCCCACTGGGCTCAAAAGAAGAGGTGAGAAGGGCACCCAGTCGGCCGGATCACTCCGCCGCGGGATTTTCATCGGACTCTGGCCGAAGCCGAAGTGCCAACCGCCTGCCAAGTAACCGGAGCCCTTCTTTCATACGAAGAGGAAGGGTCGACCTGCGACTCGCCCGAGGCTCCTTCGGACTAGCGAACACCAACACCAAAGGAGGGGGACTAGAGCTACTCCACAAGGGAGTAAGCTGATCAAGTGCGTAGCATGCATGTTTTTCCTCCAGGCCTGGCCATGCCATGCGCCCAGCCACTCTCAAATCTGATTCTCTCAAGGGGTAGAGCAAGCACAAGTCTTAATTCTCTTATCTTAGGTTATGTACACGTCAATGCGTCAGGCGCCCCCTCCGGAATCGCAACGGTCAGTTTAACCCTATACCCGGCACCTCCACCATTTTTTGTAAAGCCAAACCCCGGTAGACTTTCGAGCCTTGGTCGACCCCACTGCGGGTCCCATTTGGCTCGGCCCGCCCACGCTCGGGGCGCGCGCCGTTCGTCCCAAGGTCACCTCCACCTAGTGCTTTGAGATGGATGGGGGTGGGCCATCGTGCGAGAGAGCTTTGACATTGGGGATGTAGCTCAGCCCTCACGCCGGGTGGTAGTCTCGCTGGTCATTCCGCAACATTGTTTCTCAAGCAATTGCTCCTTCCAATACGCAGGCAGTCTAGGGGTTCTTTGAGAGTTCTTTTTCTCTTGTGCGGAGGCTAAGCGTCATCCTTAGGCCAGGCACCATTTCCCTAAGCATTGCAATCCTACGACATCATCGGGGGGCGACAATGTCGTCTTCACCCTCGCCTCTACGCACCCCTCGAGTCTCATACATTTCATCCATCGTTATCGGAGCAGGCCCCTTAGTCCTTTCGGGGCCTTCACATGCATACACAGGCCACTTCACAGTCCGATCAGCGACAAGCCTCATCCATTTTTTTTGTTCGCATCCCAGGTCTCAAGCACAAAGGTCCCTCTCATGGTTCGGTTTTACACTACGGGCTCGTAGCCCCTTTGCCACCCGGTCTCTCCCAGGCCCGTCCCGCTCAAGGCATCCCAAGCCTTTACTTACCTGCACAATCCCACACAAAGCAAAGACCGATACAATACCCGATTGGGGTCGGCACATAGCCCTTCCCGCATACCTATCTTTTCCTTTTTCTTTGGCTTCTTTTAGTTCCCCTTCCTTTGCTCAATCAGTCCATCCTCTTCTCATAATCATGCAATCGGGGAAATGGTTGAGTCAAATTGACCTCGCTTCAAGCAGCAACTAGCCCTCTTTCCGGACTTGACCTTTCTCAATTGCTTGCGTGTCTTTTCCTTTCTTTTTCTGCTTGGCGGCACAAGGGACCGTCTGCCCCCCCCCCTTGCCCACTTTCTCCGCCAAGCGAGGACAAGTTCCTTTTCACCGTTCGTTCCCTGGCAATGTAACAAGTGAGAGGTGAAGAGTTAGTTATTTGCCAAGTGGAGGAAAGAGAGAGGGTGAGATAAAGGGAGAGAGAGAGAGAGAGAGAGAGAGAGAGAGAGAGAGAGAGAGAGAGAGAGAGANAGAGAGAGAGAGAGAGAGAGAGAGAGAGAGAGAGAGAGAGAGAGAGAGAGAGAGAGAGAGAGAGAGAGAGAGAGAGAGAGAGAAAGAGATAGTAAGCGAGAGGGAGGAGAGAGGGAGAGAGAGAGAGAGACAGGGAGGAGAGAGGGAGAGAGAGAGATACGAAGAGGAGAGAGTGAGAGAGAGATAGGGCGGAGAGAGGGAAATAGGGAGGAGAGAGGGAAAGAGAGAGATATGAAGAGGAGAGAGAGAGAGAGAGAGAGAGATAGGGAGGAAAAAGGGAGAGAGAGAGATACGAAGAGGAGAGAGTAAGAGAGAGATAGGGAGAGAGAGAGAGAGAGAGAGAGAGAGAGAGAGAGAGAAGGAGAGAGAGAAGAGCAACTAGTCCTAATCAAATCATATTTCCGTAGTAGCAGCCAAATGTCTGTCACCCATCCCATAGTAGCAACAGCCAAATGTCGGTCACCCATCCCACAATAGTAACAACCAAATGAGAGTCGGAACACTACCAAGAACATGAACTTGACAAGATGAGCGTGGGAGTAGTGAAAGCACAAACACATGAGAATTTGAACAGCCAAATGAGAACCGGAACACTAACAAGGCACAAACTTGACAAGATAAGAGCGAGAGCACAAGCACATGGGAAGTTGGGCAGCCAAGTGAGAACCGGAATACTACCAAGAGTATGAACTTGCCAGCGAGAGTGAAAGCACAAGCATATGAGAAGTTGAACAGCCAAATGAGAATCGGAATACTACCAAGAGTACGAACTTGACAAGTGATAGTGAAGCACAAGCACATGGGAAGTTCAACAACCAAATGAGAACCGAAACACTACCAAGAGTACAAACTTGACAGTGAGAGTGGAGCGCAAACATATGGGAAGTTGAACAACCAAATGAGAACCGGAACACTACTAAGAGCATGAACTTCACAAGTGAGAGTGAAAGCATAAGCACATGGGAAGTTGAACACCCAAATGAGAACCGAAACACTACCAAGACTATGAACTTGACAAGTGAGAGTGAAGCACAAGCACATGGGAAGTTGAACAACCAAGTGAGAACTGGAACACTACCAAGGCATGAACTTTACAAGTGAGTGTGAGAGTAGAGAAAGCACATACATATGAGAAGTTGAACAGCCAAGTGAGAACCGAAACACCATTAAGAGCATGAACTTGACAAGTGAGAGTGGAAGCACAAACAACTGGGAAGTTGAACAGCCAAATGAGAACCGAAACTCTACAAAGAGCATGAACATGACAAGATGAGAGTGAGAGAACCGGAACACTACTAAGAGCATGGACTTGACAAGTGAGAGTGAAAGCACAAGCCAAATGAGAAGCGGGACTCTACAAAGAGCATGAACTTGACAAGATGAGAGTGGGAGTAGAGAAAGCACATACACATGAGAATTTGAACAGCCAAATGAGAACCGGAACACTACCAAGAGCATGAACTTGACAGGATGAGAGTGAGAGTAGAGAAAGCACGTACATGTGAGAAGTTGAACAGCCTAGTAAGAACCGGAACACTACTAAGAGCATGAACTTGACAAGTGAGAGTGAAAGCACAAGCACAAGCACAAGCACATGGGAAGTTGAACAGCCAAATGAGAACCGGAACTCTACAAAGAGCATGAACTTGACAAAATGACAGTGAGAGTAGAGAAAGCACATAGAGAATTTGAACATCCAAATGCCAACCGGAACACCACCAAGAGCATGAACTTGACAAGTGAGAGTGAAAGCACAAGCACATGGGAAGTTGAACAGCCAAATGAGAACCGGAACTCTACAAAGAGCATAAACTTGCCAAAGTGAAGGTTGAATAAGTGAAAGCTCATGCATATGAGTGGAAGAACAACCAAGTGTGAATCGGAATACTACCTCAGGCCTGAACTTGACAAAGTGAAGGTAGAACTAGTGAGAACACACGCACATGAGTGGAAGAACAATCAAGTGCGAATTGGAATACTACCAAAGGCATGAACTTGACAAGGTGAAGGTTGAGCTAGTGAAAGCACATGCATATGAGTGGAAGAACAATCAAGCGTGAACCGGAATACTACCAAAGGCATGAACTTGACAAGGTGAAGGTTGAACTAGTGAAAGCACATGCACATGAGAGGAAGAACAACCAAGTGTGAATCAGAATACCACCAAAGGCATGAACTCAACAAGGTGAAGGTTGAACTAGTGAAAGCACATGCACATGAATGGAAGAACAACGAAGTGTAAAACGGAACACTACCACATGCACAAAGTGAAGGTTGAATTAGTAAAAGCACATGCACATGAGTGGAAAAACAACCAAGTTTGAAACGGAATACTACCACATGCATGGGCTTGACAAGGTGAAGGCTGAACTAGTGAAAGCACATGCACATGAGTGGAAGAACAACCAAGTGTGAATCGGATCACTACCACATGCATGGACTTGACAAAGTGAAGGTTGAACTAGTGAAAGCACATGCACATGAGTGGAAAAACAACCAAGTGTGAATCGGATCTTTACCAAGTGAGGGGAGAGTCAGGCATGTGAGTGAGACTTGCTCAAACACATGCTTGAAACTCATGAATGCAACCAAGCACGAACCAGAATGTCATCATGAGACAGTTGAGCCATGCATGTGAGTGAAACTTGCTCAAACACATGCTTGCGGCTCATGAATACAACCAAGCATGAAACAAAATATCATCATGTGAGAGTTGAGCCATGCATGTGAGTGAGACTTGCTCAAACACATGCTTGTAGCTCATGGATGCAACCAGGCATGAAACGGAATGTCATCATATGAGAGTTGAGCAAGGTAGGTGAAAGGAACCATCCAAACACTAGAACAAGGACAAAAGTTACGATTTACTCCTAAGTGTAGAAGTGGAGAATAAGGGAGAGAAAGGTGAATCTAACTCACCCAAATGCAGGAAATCAAAAGGGGAGAAGTAGGGCTTCACATGGGAGTGAAGAAATGGACAAAACAAGAGCTAATCATCATCTAAACACTAGAAAAAGCAAGGATAAAAGTTGCGATTTGCACCCAAGTCAAGAACTGGAGAGAAAGCGACAGAAAAGTGAGTAGAACTCACTCAAATGCATGAAATCACAAAGGGAGAAGTAGCGCTTCACATGGAGTGAAGAAATGGACAAAAAAAAAATTAATCATCATCTAAACACTAGAGTAAGGACAAAAGTTGCGATTTGCACCCAAGTAAAGAAGTGGAAAGAAAGTGAGAGAAAAGTGAGTAAAACTCACTCAAATGCATGAAATCACAAGG